ATTGCAAATAAATAACCAGAGCTTGAGGCATGATTTCATTTTGTCTACATGTCTATAGGAGAATATAATGATACGTCTTATATAATTGACCGGGTCAAAATTTGGCAAAAGAGTGTCTTAAAGCTGTCGTTTCTAACATCGACTATGCAGCACAGAAGACGGCGTCAATTAAGCATTATTGACAGGTTTGCATTTGTCCGTGATAGACGTTTCTCATGGAAAAAAGGGTCTTTAAACTTTTCCCATTCAAAGATATTTGGCTGTGAGAAGATGACAGCAGCATGTATTGTGACTTGACACAACTCCTACGACACCAAAAAATCTAGCTACGTGTCAACGTCTAACACCAATTTCGCCAATAATCCTCAAATAAGGCAGTTACTTACTACAAAATAAGTAGCGATTATTCCTTCCATTTACTGGATGTATTAAATAAAATAAACGTACCATCCACCTGCCAATACTTATTAATTCATCATACAAACGAAGTCAATAGTTCGGTGGCATATAAGCACGCTTGGTATACGTTGCCTACAATGAGAAAACTCCATCCATAGTAAGCTTAGCGTATGGCGTCCATTATTAACAATTATACAGGCTGTGAATCCTTATCAAGGAGGGTTACATGAAACACGTAGTTCAACATATTAAGTTTTTCACATAATGCAATATTGAATAGGTAATCGGGTCCTCGCAATAATACCTGAGAGTGCAGAATTGTAGAGTGCCTGATCACGACCTTGCAGGATAAAAAGACAATATCGTACATAGAAAAAGGGCAAGTGGAAGCCTCAATGGGACTTTTTGTTTTTTCAGTGTAACTCGATGCGGTTTGGTGGGGAGTAGGTGTGCCAGAAATGTAAATTATTTCTTGTTTATTTGACATCGCAGGCTTTTACTTCCTTATCGCATTGAAACCTGAAAATTGAGGCCAGATGCAATCTTTTATGCATATACCTATTTAGGGAACATTTGCCGCCTTTTGTATTTTGTTAGACCAAAATCCATGTGCTCTGCTGATGCACCGGGCAAGCCTTCTTATTTACGCATACATCCCAGGTAGATTCACTTATCTCTTAAGCGAGCCGATACCTGCTATCGCCGACGTTCACAGGAAATATTATGACTCACATGGATAATAACCTAAATTATTGCACTTTTTGATATGAATAAAATAAAAAAGGAAGTAGATGACATTGGGTAACTTCATGCTAAAAGGCAATCCTTATATATATTGCAAAAACTTCAAGAGAACGCAAAATATGGCATATTATAATAAACAGTAACTGTATGAATCTTACAAATGAGTAACAAAAAACAAGCTCTTAAGAATTGCTATCCGTTTTGAAGGATTTAAACAATTCATTTGACATAATCGTTAGAAACTCGGCGGACTCCGGGAGATTGGAATACACAAAAACAAGGGTAAGGCTTGAATAGAGTCAAAGCTCTAACCAGTTAAGCTTCGATGCCTCATTGGCAGCTGGGTATTTAATCGAATTTGGGTCACGGTTCAGGTTTTCCTTAACCATCAATCTAGAATTTAGCAGTTATTTAATGGGTGTTCGGGTCCAATCACGGTCACCAATTGTTTTCACAAATGGGTTAAATTAGTTGTTTACTTACTTATTTTATATCTCAAATATGCTACAGCTTTAAGCAAAAAATACCAACATCGCTTAAAGTAATGCTAATATGGGGTTTTTGTTTTCTCAACTTTACATTAGTTATTGAGTTTACTGAAAAGCACTTCACACAAAGTTTTCTCACATTTTCCAGCGAGGATGAAAAGAATGAATAAGTTTCTAGACGCGCTTTACCTCGTAACAATTCCAGACATAAACAATTTCGAAGAAAGCCCCCAAAGATGCTTACTATAAAGTGTTAACTCAAAAAATCAAATAAAGAATTTATATATTGATAGTGGACTTTAGTTATCTGCGTCCTTTTGGTTAAAACAACAGCCGCTCATCAGATACAGGACAGGAAAAACGACATGACTGCCGTTTGTGATGTTACTCGCGCGGTTTTCATGCCCAATCATGCGGTCCAGCATCTATACGCAAAAAGCATTTTAAGGTAAATAGTTTTTAGAAGGGAAGTCTACGAGGGCTGTCTCACTGCAAAGCCCGCAAAAGTCTTTTATACACATTGCAACTAAGTAAATCTTTGTGCAGTATTAAATTTCACACAAAGATTTAAACTTTTCCTTTCGAAATTTCCACGAATAATGGACTCAAGCCACCAGAAAACTCACGCCTTTTAAAAAACAATTTAGGTCGATACTTCGCATCCAATAGGCTCATAAAAAAAGTTATAATCCTAATCGATTTAACCGGAAATTCTTCGCGCTTAAATGTCACGAGCGCTTGAAAGGTGTTCAGGAGGGCTGCTTAAGACAGTATTAATGTCCATGCGAGTCAAAATGTGAGTGTTTTTGTCAGTCATCCTCTACCTGGCGTTTGCTGTTCGGAACGGTTGAGTAGACACATTTTTTGTTTTTTTATTCAGGTTTATACGAACGATCCAATCAAAAACAAGCGCATAAATAGCGCAGAGGCACTTGGGGAGAGTTACAAAAAAACTACGCCAAACGTTTTTATCTTACCAGAGTATGCACGTCTGTTTGCGTCTGCTGAACACATGGGCCAGCATCCATTGATAAGTTAACACATATTCACTCTTTCCTTTGTCAGCAAACAAGAAGCATCGCAAATGGCCGCTTGATTTTGCCTACCAACAGTTTAATTAGGATAAAAAGAGTCAGAAATTTAGTTTGCTTCATAAAGTGATGTTACGTAATCGAATTTCAAAGAGGTTGACAATAAAGTGAAGAAGAGTCGAGCACCGGAACATTTCGTTTATTATCCTAAGCTTTCAGACTCGTACAGGAGTCCATCGTCAGAGGTAGTGGCAAAAACAGGACAGACGGCAGTTATAAGGCACGTAGGCCCAATCATCGACCGACGTTGCACGACTGGATGTGACTACAAATGGCTCTGTACGTCGGCGCCAGATCGATAAATCGATTGACCGAGTTCTTATCTGAGGCCCAGGCTACAAGCAATTCTCGACCTGCTTTGTTTCCGGCGTGGGTGACTATTTTGTTGGCTGCGAAGTCAAACTCGTGACCCACTTCGTAGGTGTGGGCGGCCACTTGTGATAATGCGTCGCCTCGCCGCACAGCCAGCTTATGTTCGGGTATGCGCGATCCGAGCATGCGTTCCGTCTGTCCTGTGTAGTTATAAGGACAATTTTGACACGGAATGCGATACACTACTCCAGGCTGCTCTTCCGGTTCTAGCCGGTCTTTGATTTTCATGACCCTGCTGCGCGTGGTGGCTTTGGGGTAGTGTGCAATTCCAACACCTAGCTCCGCAGCAATGCGCTCGGTCACTTCTGAAACACCCTTGATGTATGGCAGAGAATGCCATATCGTCGGTGGCGTTGATGTTCGAGCTCTCTGGTGGCGACCGTGTAGGCAGCGACTTATGAATACCCTCGGATAGCCATTTTGCACAAACTGGTCGCGGCGATAACGGGCCTCCTGTTTCTGCCACTACCTCTGACGATGGACTCCTGTACGAGTCTGAAAGCTCAGGATAATAAGCGAAGTGTTCCGGTGCTCGACTCTTCTTCTTCACTTATTCATACACCTGGAACTCGAAATTTCGCCTTCATTCGTGAAAAAAGGTTGACAATTCTCTATCTCATATAACAGCATTTGGTACTTACCGTATTTATTACGGACAATGGGGGCAAATGTCCTTTTCAAATTACCCTGTCGTACTTCTGTGAAGAAAACAGCATTTCTAACTTATAAGACTCGGATTGCTCCGAAATATGGCCTGTTAAATTGCACGTTTCTGAATATTTACGTGGCAGTTGCATCTGCAACCAAATAATTAGTTGGGGTTTCAACAGCTTTGCACGTAAAATTCTCATTTTGAAAAATTTTGAGATTTATGCAGAAACTCGAATGCTTAACAACCAAACGACCAATGTGAGCAAAAACATTCTGAGTAAGTAATCAAAAGGGCTAACATAAAATGAGCAATGTACTTTGAGGGACACAGCTTAATTAGGCGACACTCGGCATGGCAGCAAAATCTTACATGCAGTCATTGCTTTGAGTTAAACACTGGAGTTGCAAATACTTGCTGCTACTAGAGACCACAGACTAGGAAAATCTTGGACATATTTTTCTAGGTAAATTGTGTCCTTGATTGTTTACGAATATTATGTTTGTGCGTATGTTGTTTCACGAATAAAATACTCGAAATGCGTAACATATTTTTCAAAAGTCTCTCTGTATACGATATCATAGTCTGTTCTAAACTTTCCAGAATGACTGACTTTTGTCGTCGCTGATTACTCATGTATATGAAGTGTCTTGGGTTTTTTGGAAAGCCTCTGACCATGTCGAATAGCCTAAGGTATTTTTAGCGTCTACAATCCGATATATTTGGGTGGGTATGACAATGCAGTATGCTCTTCAGAAGCAATTGATAGTATAAATTTATTTAAATGTTCCTTTTCTTTTTATATATACTTAGTACACTTCATCATTTACTCAAGGAACCTGCCACTGATCAACAAGACTATTAAAACAGCTAGCACAAAAGTGAAAATCCATTCAGCCAAACATAAACGGAAAACCATATGTATTGTGGTTGCATTCTTCATTAGCTACAGAAATCTTGCCTTGCATTAATTTTTATTTATTGTAAACCATTTGATTGGCTCGCGCTTAGGCCTTAGACTTTAGCGTGTCACAACCAATGAAAAAACGCGTCGATGCAAAGACTATTTCTTAATATATACGCGAGGGGATATCTTCGTCGTTAGATTCTAAACGGCTTTGTTACTGGACCACTCCCCCGTTCACTGTGATTATGATGCCCAGTAGGCTCCTTGGAATACAGCTAACTCATAATGGAAAGTTTGGCAACAATATCCCTAACACTGGAATTACGCAAGCCGCGATTCAATCTGTTTCTATGGGTAACCTCACCTTCGCGGGGACAAATGGTCCACCCCTGCAAAGAGCCGTTTCAGGTTGGATGGAGAGCGAACAGAACATTTCTCAAGGAGGCATGCTTATCATTGAGGGGAGGGGGGAGGTGACTGACTATGACTCGTCTCCAGACCCGAAAGTCGACACAACTTGCACCGTTCCCATTACCGTGGTAGCAATACAACCACCATCGACAGACAGTAACGGGTCCTTGGCTGAGCATTCTCTGTGCAGTGATCCTGCAAGAAATAGCATGAAAAGTGCTCTCTCAGACTATCGTGTGTACAAACACGAGGGATGGGTGCAGGACCACTCCGAAGAATCCTTTCATTCTCGAGACCAGTGGGATTCTTTACCCCTTCTTGTGTCTTTTGATGACTTAACTGCCGGGTTTCAGAAGAATTTTCCAAAGCCCAGCGGGCCTGGGAAGGGTGGAAATGGCGAACATGCTACGGCAAAGGCAACCAGTAAAATCTTACAGCCATCCATCCCTAGGCCGATAATCTCACGCATTCGCAGTGCATCGCAGAGTGAAGCCTCTGTGGCACTAAAGTCATTGCACATTGACTTTGAAGTCGGGTGTCAGGCTGCAGAGAACTATTTAAGAGTTGAGAACAAATGTCACATGAGAAATCACTCGACATCCATGACGTCAATTTGTGCCCGGAAACGGAGCCAACCAAATTTGAAAAACGTTCCCGTTGAATTGCCTGAGGGTCGGATTAGTCCGACCTGTCAGATGCCAAACGAAATAAGAAAGGTCGATTTTTAATACTTCCATTCAATAACGCTTTGTTAATAAGGCCTTTTAGAAGGTGTTTTATGATCAAGCAGTGGTGTAGGTTTGTCAAGCCGTATAATACTAAGAAAAAATATAGGTAGAAAGAGGCTAAGCGTTAACTGTCTGCCCTGACTAGAACACTGTAATATGTAACTTAATTTTCTATTAATCATGTTAACCAGGTTAGCTTTATAGACCAGAATGCGTTAAATGCATCAAAAAAGAACATTTAATATTGTGGTCCTCCCCAGTTCTTGAAGGAAAGCAAGCGCATACTTAAGCCGAACAACGCTTTTTGTTCGGACATTTCCGCGCAGTTAAATTTCATAACTTTTAATACTATTTGATTACTATAGTTAACGTTCTATTTTGCCAAATGATACCACGTCCACAGTCACCGTGAAGACTCCCGACGTTTAACCACCAACTAGAGGCAACTACCAGTTCAGTAGATGTCTACTGCTTCAAAGTGTGCAAAATTAAGTATTCCGTGATGATTTTTTTATGTATACCTCGGAAATCTACTTTTGCCTACAGACCACCATATAATTTCTGTTTTTTTTCATGCATTTTAGCGCCAAGTCTATCTCTGTGTGATTTTTCTCAAAATTGGTGAAATCGACACCATCAAAGAACAGTACGCAGCTGATGTTCTTATAAAGGCGAAATGGCGAGACGCCGATATGGACGCCGCTGGTTCCCTAGTAAGCAACCAGTAAATCTGATATTTGGTGCTGTCAGTGAAACAGTTGTTTATTCCGGAAGTCTAACTTCCATTACTGCTGCGCTAGCTTAGGCCGTTTGCATTGTCCAATCACGAAAATAACTCAGAGTCCATTTGGCAGTAAATATTTTTATCCATCTGCTGGAAATTGAATGGGGCTTTTTTGTTTCGTTCTAGATTTTCCGGAAAGTTCAGGGATATTTTTATAAATTAAGATCTGTGGGTTTCTGAGTTGTCACAAAAATTGACATCGGAATTTTGAGTAAGGTTTTAGGGACAGAAGAGTTTGGAAAAGGGTCGAGAGTGAATAAGAATAAGTGATCAGAAATTCGTCAATTCTCATTTAATAAAGACTTACGAGTTGCGAGCCGATGGCCATGGTAGTAGATACAAGTTCCTATCTCTGATTTACCGAGATTATGCATTACATGCGATAGCTGCAAATGTTTCGGCTCATCATTTGGTCCGTTGCCACCCTTCATGAGTTTTCGTGCATTTTTGGACGGCATCTTAAAAGTTTGAATATAACCAACGTAGCCCACGTCCGCGAATTCATTTCTGAGAAAATTAAAGTGTTAAACTTGCAGCAAGCCAATATCGATGGAACGTGTATATAAGCCACTAGCTAATAGCAGTGGCGGATGCTAATCCAAAATCAATAAGTTTGCCTTAACCCACGGAGGAGAGGTTTCGCTCAACATTCGTGAACATATGCTATGTAAATGCGTCGTGATAATAAACAGTCCCAAAGTCATCGATAAACTTTTTTCTCAATTTAGGAATTTCTTGATTTTGAAAAAGGGAAACATATTTGGCTGGCAAATAGTTCTCCTGTAGCCGAAAAAATAATCTAGTGGGCTCAGATGTTTTTAAGTTCTTATTGCAGAATGCCCAGTTAACACCCTCCTTACTGGGAAGGTTTTGATTATTTTCGGGTTGATATTACAGAATTACGACAAAGATACATTCTCAACTTCTAAAGAATAAGTTTGAAAAATAGAAATTGGCGCTGATATTTCCCGAATATAAATCTGTACTGTCTAGAACATTAGTACAAGGCTGATATGAAGGGCGTTTCATGTTTACATAGGTGTATACATATGGAAACATAAGCACAGATCTTACAAGTTATTAACAGTTCGATATTTTAGTAGGAAATTAATATATATTACCAAGAATATCAGCCTAAAACCTTTTATAAAGGAAATATAATCATAGTGCTTGTGTTTGTATGGGTTATTATTATGCGTGTATTTAGAGTCAAAAGGAAAATAAGCAAGTCCCGCGTTAAGCATGCATGCTTATTATTACCCTTATCTACTTCCAATATTTGTGATTTCGCGCATGTCTGATTACTTTGTCTAGGAGTATGACTGGCTGCACAATTGGACCCCAAAGCTCTACATTGAGAACACCATAGGCGAAACAAGGGAACAACTTCATCAAATGATAGCTTTGAATGAGTTTGGCCACGCATTCCTTGTAGAGAAACGCAGAGTATCTGGGGTATTTTTGGAGAACCTGGAATTGAACCACTTTCCATTTGACGTTCAGGTGAGCATACGAGTACACGCAATTTAATGATCTATTGGTAACTGAAGTTTACATTCCGGATATAAGTTTACTGGGGGACAGACTGAGGTTAATTCTGAGGTGTGTTTAATGAATAAACAGAGGGGCATGAAATGGAAAATCAGAACATTCACTTGAACCTTCTAAGGCGAAAATATTTCCTAATGTTTCTTAATAGGAAGAAAAATAGGAAAATATCGCTGCAATTGAAGAGTTGTTTAACTGATATGTCTTAGTTTTATTTACAGCTTGGGATTTAGCTTTAAAAAAATTGCAGCCACACTTTGTCAAACGTCCATTAAGAAAATGAATGCAGACTTCTGAGGTGCTACCAAGAAGGAATGTTAACTGGTCTTTGACCTTACTTAAACTCTACATATTTCAAAAGACAATGATTAGCTACTCAGGAGCATTTGGAAGTTGTTTTGTTGCCTACTGCCTCTAAAGTTGAACGTTTTATAAAACGTCACAAAACATATTTGTAGGCCAAATATACCTTCACTGAAGGAGATCCGTTTAATATGAAGCGCGTACATAACTAGACTGTCGTTAACAAGCAGGCTTTGTGCGATATCGCCCTTTGTTGTTAACAAAAGAAGTTGAGTCTCTGTTAAATTATTTTTCCAATACGAACTTTAATGGCCTTCATTCTGTCTCAGATATCTTCACAATAGGTAAGAAATTCAAACCAAAATATTTACAGATCGAAATTTCTGCTTTTGCATGGTCTGGAGCATACAGTAATCACCTTCACGTTTATAATCAAGACGGAATATGTGGCTTAAACCCGACCCACACAAGGAGATTGTGTACTGTCGATTATTCTAAGTGAAGGCAGTATACTCTCAAAGTTACTAACTTTTAAATCTATTATTTTATCTACAAAATCGATCATTTATCAGTTACAAAAATGTGTTAAATTGGAATTTACAAAACATTTTAAAGAACGCAATTACACGCCGTTTTGAGGACCCAGTGTGTGAGCGTGTTATCTCCTTTATTCCGAACGTCGTGTTTTTCATTTTAAGTGTTTAGTAACGGAAAATACATGTACAAGATTGGAAGTTCAGAAAGAGGCTCTTCCTGCTGACCTGTCATAATCAATCCTACATACTTAAACGGCGTTTAAGACCATTAGAGGTTCGACATGGCTCGTTTTTCAATTGAAAGCGTTTTACGTCAAGCTCACTACCAGTTAAGCCGAAGGTCAGTTTTTCATCTATGGCGGCAATGAATTTCAGTCATCTTGGTGTAACAGCTTGCAGCACTGGTTGGAAGTGGAAGTATGGTTACTTTAAGAAAGAGTGTGACAATATTTTGGACCAGTGTATCAACTGTAAAAGACCTGAACACATACAGTGAAGGACCGATCTCATGAGATGTTGGACGAAATACCGGAATGCGTTTTTTATTAGGATGGAGTACCTAAGAAGAGTTTTAAAATTACGGTTTGTTGCGGCATGATCTTATAATATTTTGAACTGACGGAAATGTTTGCCTTTGAATTCACTTCGCGTCAACCTCCTGTACACGCAGCATTCAGTGGAAAATGACTGCTTATATAGGTTGCATTTTACACACAGATTTTTGATGGCTTCATAAATTCAGTTATATTTAATGGAAAACATGCACACATGTATGCTACTTTTTACTCGTTTAGTAGAGAATTACGCCATCTATACATTTTATACCCTAAGAAAATGTATATCTAGTTTTCAAAATGTTTCTAATTAGGAATTTTTTTAACTGTGCAATATTCTGTCAAACAGAATCGTATCTGTATGTTTACCGACGTTTCTCTTAAAAGTACAGCGTAGTCCACATTCCTTGCAGAATTTCATGGACCCAATATGGTATCCTTTTAAAGGCCTAGAGGAATATATGAGTCTGTAAATGCAGAAGGAATGTCCCTTTTAATGCAACTGATGATCATGCTGAACACTATTTGCAAAGTGAAAAATCTCTTTACAATCTAAATACACCCTTCTCGAAATATAAAATGCACAGACAACGTGGTTGTCCATCAAATGAGTGAAATGAGGCATATTTTTGCTGATGTTTATCATAAAGTGTATTAGAATTTAAAAGATTATCATATACCAGTGTGAAAAAATGCATGCCACTTAAGTAGTCTTTTTTCGCCGAGCGAGGTTTTTACTAGAGGTCGTTCAGAAATACATCTAAAGGCAAACATTCTGGAGAGCCCGAAATATAACAGGATCATGTCGTAGGATACCCAGTGTCACAACCCAACCTAGGTATCCTTTCAAAACAAAAACATATTTCTGAATTTCAGCCAAGATTTCATGAGAGCAATCACTCACTGTTTATCCTGACGAACATGCAAACATAACAACACCCACCCGAGTAAATTAATTATGGCCAGTACAAACCAATAAAATAGAGGGGATTGACACCTCCAGTTTCCTTTTTCTTCGATTGGTTTTTCTGTTGGGCGTGATTTGCTAACGAATGTTTTCAATACAGCTTATGTGAATATTTAATGACATTTACATCAAACGGAAAACGCCCTGGTGAGCAAGTAGAAAACTTCGCCGTGTCGCCTTTGAAGACGGCCGAAAACGCGCTTGTTCAAAAGCTGGCACCCTGATGTAACTTAAATCGTCTTGATGCACGGTGTACTCTAATCAATATTTAGCATTAATTAAATAATTCTAGCTAATCCAAAACACATTTCAGAATACCACTCGACACTTCTTAATTTGGGGCAGATTTTTTGGCTGGTTTAGCCCCACGAATAAGATGGAATGACAGCTTCTGTATCCTTCATCATCAAAAACCTTTTACTTAACACGGAATACAACGTTTTTCTGCTAATATTTCAATGAAGCATTGGATTAAAATGGCATTTTGCGCAACCCCTTGCACTGTGCAAGACTCAGACGGAGTTACATTAGATTTAGTAGACATTTGATGTAAATGGCTGGCCTCAATAACCGGATTCTTGTATGACAAATCGTAATATATGCAACAAAAGCAACTGAGAAATACTTTCCATACCTTTTTCTGTTAAGACCTTGATCGTCACCGCTCGTTAATTCATGTAGTACATTTTCGACAAATGGCTACTCGAATATCAATAAATCTTCCAATATTCTGCACAATTAACAGGTTTTCACTAAAATTGTTCTCTACTGCTATTATATTTTAAGTTTATATACCCGATACCTCCACAATAATTAAAATACATCTTAAAAGCGTACCGAAGTTTGACAAACCGTATTTAAGCCATCGTAAATCTACCAAATTTAGGAGCTACACAGTTTTTTCGTCAACCTCTGTTTCTTGAAAGATTTAATTTGATCTTGATGCGGACGCAGTACATGTGTGGCAACTAGTAGGAATTGAAAGGTTCTCCAATGAGGGTCAGAGATTTCGGTGAACGGGACCCTTAAGCTAATATTTACTCCTTTCTGTTTTGTCATAGTTGTTAACAAGGATGTTTAACATATGCCCGTGGTTTTTCTTCTAAAAGAATTCTTGGAGTGCATTACTTCATTCGTCAGAATATGTGGCGGAGAATTTCGAAAACTTCCTTATCCTTTTTCATCAACCCCATTTATAACGAATTAAAGGCTGTCAGAATTGCTATCATTCTCAGAGTCAGACTCCACTGTACGGACGAATTCTAAGTGGGTTGGTATGCATCATTTGTGCTCTACAGAAAAATCCGCTTATTTCTGGGCGAAGATTCACCCAATAGGACTGGAAAACACTCCAATAAGCCATGAGATTTCGTGCCAAATTTCAATTAGCACCGTTTTACCGAACTTACGACATCCGCCAGGACAGATTGGTCATAACTACCATAAAAGCAAACATGTAGTGACAGGAAACGGCACCTAAGCTAGGGTGTTTACTGGTCTCGTGTTCGAGCACTTGGATAAAGCTAGACTGCGCATATAAATCATTAAAACAAACTAAAAATATGACTCCACAACAAGAAAGATTTGCATATTCCTTCTGTTTAAAAATAACGAAGGATGCTTCGTTATGAGTTAAACTAAGAAACTTTAGGGGCAACAAAATGGCGAAGGTTTAATTTCAAGAGTTTTATCTTAACGAAAAAACGAAATGATGATTAAACTATGAATGTTCAGTTCTGTCATCCGCATATAAGCCGAACAACTGAAAACTGTCGCAGCTGCCAAATCGATTCTCGAGAAACTGTGTTAAATCGTTAATGGTCTTTGACACTTAAAACTGTCGTTTATACATTTAAGCGTTTAAGTGATTTTATTTGACTCACGTGACATAACGCACAATAAAAGATTTTAACTTCAGATAAAGTTTTTTTGCACGTAGTAAATGTACAGAGTTTCCAAGGTGAACAATTCAAGTGTTTTATTCTCAGGATAGAAACACAGGCCAGATTAACCTCAAAACTGGCTAACAATATCGGCCTAGCTTTAGATGACGTATGAATAAGTGACCAAAATGTATTTTTGGAAATTGCAAATATATATTAATATTTCGAGGACGTTTCAACCGGCAACCCGTCCTTGTTATACTCCTAAAATGTTCGTGGATTAAGGTTCCTTTTTCGAAATATCCTACCTAGCTGTTATAATTCCATTAGGGTCACGTGTCTCAGAAAAGGTACTGAGACTATAAAATTATCGGATCGAGTTGAGATTACCTTTTTGGATGTACAATAATTGTCGGAACTAAAAATTAGACTAGGATATCTAGTGCAAAACGGGATGTTAATTTGTAGGTCTTGCAAATGGTCACATAAATTTTTGCCTTGATTTGTAATGTCTGCGTAACATCGGAAACATGTTGCGGACATCATTATTGAAAAATTACTTTTTGAATTATTTATTGCCACATTCTCATTTGTTTTAACTTCTAACTTAACGAAAGTCCACCCATCAGACATAAACTTATTTCTGGGATATTTCTTTATGTGCATTGATTATATATTGCAAATTATTACGGCTTCATTATATTTATTTTAAAATACGTAATATAATCAACAATAAAGGAAATGATTCTAGGCTAAGGGTGACTTCCTGCAAATGATTTAACGAACTACGGAACTTTTTACAAACATTCGCCAACGACAGTTTCTTTTATTATCCGTTTAAATATATTCGGATTAACATTACCTTCGAGAATAAGTGAAAAAGTTTGCGTTACTTAAGTACTTTTCAGCAGGCATATATCATCCCTGGCTACAAAGATATTTATCCAAAAAGGAGCATCATACCATACAGAAAAATAGTGGCATTACGTCAAATGCTAATTAGCCTTACGATTTCGAAAAAGTAGTATTTTTTCACTAGCGCAGTATTTGTGATTTATTTGCCAAAGTTTGATGGGTTTTTTCTGTAGAAATAAGCCACAGAGGATAAAGTGGTTAGAAACGGCTGTCTGAATCGTCAGAATAGCAAAGTAAAGCACTAGATCGCTAGCCTTTAAATAACTGCTGTTTACTTTTTGAAATAAATGGACTAGGACACAGTTCGTCACCCATTGTGAGAAGTTCTGTCCAAAACCAACATCAACTGCCAAGCCTTTTTGCGTTTGAGACCAAAACATGTGTTCGTGAGAGCGGTCAACATAACCATTATGAGTACAGTATAGTCCTTTTCTAATAACGCAGTTGTTGCATACCGCGCTACAACTATCTGTGGTTTTCCTTATGACTTCAGGACCTAACGATCACCGTGGCATCAAACCTACCCTCATCAGAGATTCGACTGCTGAATGATCCTGATGAGCCTCACAGAATAAACAAACAATCATTTGTCGGTAAGTTAACCGAAAGTCAACATTACAAATACCTGACCGTCCACGTTTTGGCTTCCTCGAAACTTCAGTTGTGATATCATAGAGAAATCTGAACTATTTATGTTAGACGTTTCATATGGATTTGTATCCTGTAAAATAATTTTCACGGCAAAACTCTTATTTTAGTATATTTCTGGGTTTAAAGAAAATTATTTTGAACTTTCATGCATATGGACATTTTTAAATATTCTGCAATGCCCATTTGAACGCATTCTCTTGACCTTAGTAGCTGAGATAATTACGCCAGTAATAACGTAGGAATTGGCAGCTTTAAGTGCAATTGAAACGCAACAGTGACCATGATATTTTCAAAAAATACATCGATGACAAATCCTCGCATTTTTTAACAAGTAGTGGGGATTCAAGGCGGACTATTTACCACCATTGACGGGTACCGCTAATTTCCAGGTTAAAACATGTGTGACTTAAAAAAAACCAGTGTGGCAGAATGAATAATAGTTTCTTTTGCAACCGCAGTTATTAGAAAAAGAAGCACTTGAGGTTAAAATTACCTCCTATCTTCTCCTTCAGTAGGAAATTATCTTGTGTTTTGCTGTGGCAGCCGCTTATTGGGTTACTTATTCTGTTCAAAAATCTTGAAAGCTACGTCCATTCTAATATCGACTCTAATCTGGCAGTGACTACCAGAAGATTGCATTTATTGTGCTACGAATTAGCGATTACAATAGAATAGTGTTTTTCAGATGATCGAGTTGAGCCATCCTGAAAATTAATTTTCACTCTAAAAATTATTAACGGCTACAAATGATTTAATGAAAACTATTCGAGCAAGACCCATGGACGTCTAAAATGTTGTCTCCTGTCAGTAAATGGGTCAGAAAAATAGCATGATCGTCCGTAACCTTTTAATAATTACAAACTACAATACAAGGTTTGAAGGCAAGCCTGTCCCCAATGGCTGCATCATGCCCCATTCGTCGTCAAATTACTCTTTTTCACTAAAGCCCCATAGCAAATGCCAATATCTGCACCGTAAGTGCCAATAAAAATATGGCTATAAATGACACGGTTAGCCTTCGATATCCTCGATGGCAGCTAATTGAGTTCAAACCCATGAGTAGTAGGAACAAAGCCCCGCTAAGGCTGAGGAAGAACAATGGTTTGTAGAGGACAGCGAGTACTTTAAAATAGGCCTTTTGATCACTCATGTCTCTTTTATTAATAAATATCGATAGTTTATTGCCTATAGCCCTGAAACAAATGATGTCTTTCCCAACTGGTGCTAAAAGACAAATTCCTAACTCTGTTCTCTGCCTTATAACAAGGCTAAATGTAGAAGGGTCGCTACGTATGAATTAAACTGCAATTATTAGATTAACCATAAATTATTACAAGTAAAGTGCCAGTAACAAAATAAGCCGTCCTGCCTTAGCCGGTCCTTTACCTTTAGAACTACACTATATGTAAGACGACAATACATAATTTAACGGAAATGAAACGCAATTAAGCTAAAAAATAAACTTATCCTTATCGAGATTCAACGCTTAAAGTGTATTATAGAAACTAACACTCAATTATTCTTAGTTGCAAATGCCATAAAGGATTTAGTCATGTTTTCTAAAGAGCAAAACCGAAGTTTTGGACTTATCGGCTTCTGTAAGTTAAGATATTTAGGCGTAAAAAGCAGTGGCTCCGGATGCCCTAATAAGAGCCAATGGTTAACTTCCAATGGTCTTGATAAGCATACACACAGTGACCGATCTCAGGAAGTACTGATAAAAATTTTGAAGTGCGTATTCAATTAGGTGGGATCACTTTAGTAATGTTGCAATAATAAGCATCTTGCGGTATTATACTGCAATATTTCAGATGCGCCAAGATGTTAGCTTTTAAATGCATTTATTTTCAGCCTCCTTTAAATACTGTTTTTGGTAAAAATCTCCACTTGGGTATCAGGCACTTTGCATATCGATTTTCGATGCTGTAATAAGTTCAAATATACTTTATAGGAAATGCATATAAAAATACTCTTTTTATGTCAGTCTGGTAGCACATCACTTCGTCTTAAATACTGTATTTGAAAGATAGGTATTTTTTGGTTCTAAAATGTGTTCTTTTCCTAAACAATTTGAGCTTACTCTGCCGTTGCATTTGGGTTTATATTTTTCTGTTTATCGGCTGTAGACTTTCCCTGTAAGGTAGAACTTTAATTCTTCTATGCATGAAGTATATGCTATATAGTGCTCATAAAATTATGAAACGAATGTGGAATATGCTGACTACTTGATGAAAAGTATTTGTAGACACACAGATTCTATGCTGTTTGTTGTGACATTGCACGGCCTTAAAATGTCGTAATTACAAACATTTTAAAACCGAAAGATGCCATTTCTCTGAGTTTCAATTTTAAAATTAGTGACTTATCATCAAGTTAGCACAATAAAGACTATTTTGCATGTTTTTTCTATAACATATATTTAAATTTATAAGAGCATCGAAAATCAATCGAGAAAGTGCCCCCCTATTAAATAGTAATTTTTGCCGAATACTTCCTTGTTAGGCGGCCGAAAAGAAGAACGTCTAAAAGGTAACATTTGGCGTATCTGGCGTATCACAACACTACGCCGCAGTATACAAATTTTTACATCACTTAAGTAATCTTGTCCACTTGCATACGCACTTCAGAATTTCGGTAAAAACTTCATGAAATAGATCACAGAAGAAAAACAAAGCTTGAGCACAACCATCGGAGTAGCGGGGTCTCGAGTTCTACGTTTATTGAAAACTGAACAGGCAACTTCACTTTAAAATCAGCAGTATCTGACAAAAAGGTAAGATTCAGGCAGATTTAAGTCGTAGCTCATCAAACCGTTGGTCGGCGGCCGCGTTGGCTGATCGTCGTTCTCTTTTAGGTCACTGATTGCGCCAACTCTGAGATACGCTGAATTATTGCTGTACATCTCAACAACAAATAACTTAATTAGACGACGAATAAAACACGTAAATTTCTGTAGTTGGAAAGCGAGGTTATTTTGCAGCATCACCTATTAGCGGAATGCATATGTTAATCTGCTTCCCTCACTCTTGAGGTAAGCACAGGACCTGACGATGCTTTCAATAAAAACGTTCACATACGTGACCCTATTTTTGATTTGAACTGATCGAGTTCCTCATTTCGGTTCTGCCAGTTTATCCAGATCATGTTTTGGCATGCTTCCGAAATTCCGTTAAATCAAGTGCTCTTTGAGTCGGCATGGTCATGACTTTTGGTAGTCAGAAGAATAAGCTTGCGCACACCTCTTTATATTGCGACGGAGGGTTATTGATTTAGTATGGTATCTATGACCCAACGGATACATGCTACTGTCATAATCATCTCAGCCGATATTTTTAATATTTGGCATAGGAGCCCACCCAGTGCGAAAAAACGGTCTTTTCTCAGCACCCTCGTGTGTAACTTGTTTGTTTCAGAACTTGTCCTTATCCCGCTTGATTCTCATGAGTGGCAAGTCGCTGTGGTTGGTCAAAATCCAGGATTTATACCTTTTGAAGTCCTTTGTCTTAAATGCTTGGACGGCGTTTTACCGGCCAGTCCGAATCTTGGGTCCTGTTCCGATGATTTGTCCATGGACCGTACATCGACGGTGAAGCACACTGGAGCAGAAAAACGGCATTATCTTGTCCGGGCTTAACCATAATGCCTTTTAGTCACTGTAAACACCACTGGAAAAGACAAATCTTTGTTTTAGGTTTGTCATAGGAAATTGTAGTTTCTGACTTACATAGTTCACGAGTACCTATGGGGTCGTGCCTCAAACCGACACAGCTTTTGAGGGACGAGCTAGCCAAGTTTCAACGCCTTTAATTTAATTCGAAGTGCATTCTGGTTTATTTGTATATCGTGCCCTTTAAGTTATGAGTACGCATAGCTTAGACGAAAATACCGCAGAGACGGCACGATATAGCAACTGCCAGCACACATTGCCAGGACCCATCAAACAGTTAGATTATCACTGCAAGACATTCTTTACTTCAATGGGACCCTTCGTGAATGAGTGAAATATGCACAGACTAGCCGTTATAATGACGCTTGCCTATGTTTACTCTAAGGATGACAGGTCTTTATGCCTGCGCGGGAAGCATGCCTTCTGTTTTCTCAAGGTGTCACGTACATTTCTTCCCAGTTAGTCGGATATATTTTTTTGTTACTTGTTTTCTGCATCTCAGCAAGTTTGCAAAAATAAGATAGGCTTTTTCCAGCTTGGCCAGCCAGTAGGTCCAAACAGGAAGAGCGCAGCTTGGAGGTTGTTAAATAAAAAGAGAAAGAGCATCTTAGGACACTGTAGACAAAAAATTCATTTTTAAATTTGTATTAAAGCTTATTGAGTTACCCTTCTGTTTGGGCAAAAAAATGTGGAGGCAAAACGTACTGTTGGTATAGATAAAGAAGTTTCACACAGCAGTGAGTTTTGTATTCAGAGTATTTCAACGTGTTTTGCAGACGAACAAGAGTGGTACTTGTACAAGCATATCGATTCAGAACAGCATGAACTGGCAAACGAGTATATTGAAAATGCTTCAGTGAGGCCGGCCCTCTCGGTGAAATGTCGTGCGGCAAGGCGACCGGCCTACTTCATCTGGAACATATTCCTCGTCACGGTAAACATCCTATATGACGCAATTTATCACCCAGTATTCTGTTTTTTAAATTCCCCGACTTTCAAAAGAGCCGCCGTTAACTGATGACTAAGTTCGACTGCGTTCTTTTGCCTAAGGATCTTTTTTCAAACAGACGTGCTTAATTAAGTCTACGAAATCACCTAAAATGATGGTAGTGGTAGTGAAATACCCTCTTATTCTTCCCTTTGCTTTACTGAATTTATGACAAACGTTTTCTAGCAAATGTCTTTGAAGCAAAGTTGATGAAGACAGCTGGTTTTTATCTTTTCAAGTCAGTATTACTAAATGGTTTGCTTCATAATAAGTGGCAAATGCTGCTACAGCACGTAAATATATGATTTAATTACAAATACTCGCTGTGTTAACTGTTCACTTTAAATACGGGCGCTTCTGGGGATAGGATGGTATTTTTTTACGTATTACATCAAAAATTCACTCAAGCAATTCGTTTGAGAAACATATGCTTTTGTTCATAGTTTTAGCACCCTTCGATTAGGGCGCTGAAAAATCGCTGCTTTAGCAGAAATTTCACCTGGACAGCCGTTAACATGACTTCCGCGCCGCGGATTTAAAGCATGCAATGTGCAATAGACTTCATTTCCTATACAATCGAGACCTTAATGACTTTATATGTCAATGTGCAAGCTGCCTCACGATCGCTGTCGGCTGGTAGAACTGAAACATTAAGCTATGATTGCGCGTCAGTATTAAGTGTCAGAATTGAACAAATGTCTAAAACATCAAATTGTAACCGAGCATACTTTACTAAAAGTTGAATTAAACCTCAAGAGAAATGGCCACTGACTTCTCGTCTCGCTTTGCAAATGAGCGGGCAGGTTCTATTTTTCAAAGTCGATCGTGATGCAGGCAGTGATGATCACGTTATCAAAAACGATTAAATCAGTTCCAGCGTATTCCGACCTTAAATAAATTTAGTTTTGTTTAAGACAAAAACATTTATCCGAACGCCATGTATTTTAAACCAGAGAGATGGCTGACTAGCCGTTATTATCCGATGTACTTTAACTTACTCAAAGTTCCCCGTTGCAGAAAAAAATGGAAGTGACTCTTCCAGATATTGGCATTGGCGCCGCACTTTTTACGCCTGAGCCTACTAAAACACCTTTGTCATAAAATGTTCGTCCATTTGACTGAACATCTTGAGTCAAGCAGTTGACAATTATCTACCGAAATCAATAATAATAATTCAGCTGATCAAAGCGTTAGTGAACACTCGTCTGTTCATCGTTTCGCCGACAAAAATATCGCCAAATGCAGGTTAACTGCATACACGCATTTCCAAACTGACGTTTATATATGAGTTATTATAGGGTAGTGCAGACTACTGCGGAATTATTCCACGCACTTTGCCATTCAGTCACGTTGAATGTTCAGAAAGACTATTTATAAAATTGATTTTGCCATATTAAACAAAGTATCCCGATAATATATTTGTCAACATTAGAGTAGTGTCAAATTCAAGTGTGGGACCTTTTGCATTTTAAAAAGCGCAGCTTAATGTCAACAGGCTGCAAATACCTCAAACAACTTAATACCAAACATTGCCAGCCGGTGATTAATTGATTCTATCGCAGTAGTCTTACCTAGATATTTCACGTATGAAGTGTGCAGCTTTTTGGTGGTTTAGAAAATAAATATATGCTCGTCTTAACTTTCATAGCTAAGTTCTACTGGAGCAATGGCTTTAAATCCTCGACGGATCTTACCCTGTCTAATTATAAATACAAAAGGAATTATACTTGGGGTAATATTTTGGTGTTAATGGTCGAATCCCCAGTTATTTAAATTCTAAATCTCTAAGCTTTAGCTCTTTTATCCAAATTGTTCCGCCCTTTGGCACAGTTTGTAATTAAACTAGCCGGCCTTTCATGAACAGGATGTCATGTATTTTTGAAATAAAGCTCCTTGGGGCGATACTTCAAAACTGCCACATTGTTCTATGTTTTCTCATATTAACGTATGTTTGCTTACGCTAAACCAGAAGAGACCGCTGAAGGGGTTGATGTAGTATAAATCCCATTAGGTATACCACATGATGACTGCATTCAGTTAAGGTAGCATCATGTCTAGAACGCAAATCATTTAAAAAGGACGGGAAAATTCTGTTTGTCCAAAATTGCATTAACCATTTTTTTATTCCCATCTCCTTTATCTTTTCCAAACATGCAGTTCCTTATCTGCTCGCTCTCCCTTGTCACCTTCGCTGTGGACCGATCTCAACCACAAAGCCGATTGCAGCTTACCTTTACCCTTGTTCTGACCCTTGTTGCATTCAAATTTGTAGTCAATCAGTGCCTGCCTAAAATATCTTACTTGACATATCTGGTAGGTTTGTTTGCTGTTCACATTTTCATTTTTACAAATATCATCCTGACACTGAAGTGTACAAATAAGTTCATTAAGACACAAACATGACGTATTGGAAAAGGAAGATACGATCGCCGGACAAGAGCTTTGTTAGCCCGACGTTGCGGATTCCTGCTCGAATTCATCATCAGAGACAAAAGCAAATAAGGGTCTCTTATGATGGATTCGAGCAGGAATCCGAAACGTTGGGCTAATAAAGCTCTTGTTCCGTCGATCATATCTTCTTCTTGAATACTGCTTCCTGGGACTCGTCTCTTTGCTTCAATTGATAACCATGACATGCTGTCTGTGCAATAACCTGCGTTTTATTGCACATCTTTAAACATAGTAAAGTAAGCATCTGCGTGATTCATAAGTATGCTCAAATAATAAAGGATCTTTTTGTATTTATACTTAATTTGATTTCCGTTAGGTAACCCGACAGAGGAGAGATAAAACTTCCGAGTAGATTAGCAACGTTGTCTGTGTTATACTTTGCATTCTTTTTTGCATTCTTTTTTGCATTCTTTTTGCAATTCTTTTTTGCTAAAATTTCAATATACCAGAAAGGTGAATTTCTACTGGAGACATCTGAGTAACTACGTTTGCGCAATCAATATATTTCATAAGAAGCGTGAATAACGAAATTAGTCTATTTTTAACAAATGGGCAATAAAAGCAGATGTTATGTCCGAGAATGCAGGTAAAAGGCCTCATTATCAATGACACAAGCGAGAACAGGACATAGATATCATTTGATTCGTTTTGACCGAGACCTTTTTATTTGGGCTAGGCTGACACATACATTCTTCCCATATAATTTTACTGGCCCGACGAGAAGTTATCAAAAGCTACGTATGCTCGCCACCTTGTCTTCTGATTACATTCTTTATTATTCTACAACCTGGTCTGTTTTCTAACATGGCTAAAATATCAAAACAACAGCAGAAAAACGTTGGTGCATAGAACATCTCTTCTAACGGAGAGATTCGACAGAAAGCACTTCTGTCGTTTTACCCAAATTTAACAAAATACGTTTTGATACTGGCAAAAACAAACTCATTACAACGCATATTGCAACAATTAACTTAAACAAACATTGTCCGTAAATGCATCTGAATACCAAGTTTCTTCATTTTCCTGTTGTTAGCTATCGTCTATGGACTGATATGTTTGTGGTGGGCAGGGATCATTTCTTGTTCTGTCAGTTTCTGTTGGCAAAAATTTGGCAATAATGCCATCAACATTTAAAAAAGGCACTATACATTTTTAAAAAACCACAATAACAGTCTCGTCATCCATTTTTTCTACCACGGTAAGATGTAAATATGTTTTCTGACATGTAGTAAAAACGTCTTTTAAAACTTTCCCCCGTGGCTTCATCAAGACTTTAGTGTCCGTAGCGATGGTGGCGGCTAATTGACTTTTACCACCCCAGACGCGATTTCGATCGTTTTGGATGTTCCCAAGCCAGTTTTTGGCAGTTCATATGTAAACATGGACTTGGTAGTCTAGTTTGAATCCTTAATACGCCTACTTTCCTCATCGTTTATAGAGAAAAGTTACTTGATAAAATTTAAATCTGAGGATGTGTGATCCAGTAGAATCTAAAAAAATTGGTTTTGGAAGACGCGATGGCGGGTGTTTCTAGCGTAATGGTGGTGGGTATTTTGAAGGATTACCTCCTCAAAACCTCCATCATGTCCTTAAGGAAAGGTTCTTTTCACGACCTATTTTGCTGCAAAAATTAGAAAGTGATCTTGCATTAGCCTAATCGCTAGTTTCATCCATTATTGAACTACCACGATTTTTCTCGGGGTTCCAATCAGCGTTCAAAACCTAATAAATTTATAAAGCTCACGGCAACTTCCACGTAAATAGTTTTATTAGTTTAAGTCTTTGACAAGAAAATTCAATTCATTTTTGACATATGCCCTTAGTGTCTAAATAAATTTGCACGAGTTACCAGCATATTCTATCAAAAATTGGATATTCAAATTAAATTCGAAATATACTGCTGGAAAATAAAACGAAAATTCGAGTTGAAAAAATGCTCCCTGTACTCATTCTTTCCCTGAATTTTGCATAGAATTCCATTTAACTGCATGCCGTCTGGTGAATAAATGGGCGCGGCCGTTGCAACTGATGACATTACTGGAAACGTTTATTGGTCGTGCAGTTCTTTTCGCGTTTTTTACTAAATATTTTTGCATAAATTCCACGATGATTCTAAAAAGCATAGGAAAAAGACTTTGATTTCTACCATTTACTTGAAAGAAAACCCTGGGGGCAGTCTCATCTGCCATTTCATGTTATGAATCCTTTAGAGCAACGGTCAAAAGGCGTTAAATTACTCGAATTGAGGCGAGAATGCCAATTAAATGAACCATAGTTCTAGAATAAGAAACTTATTACTCTGAACGTCTTCTGCCCCCATAAAATGACGTTCACTAAAGTGGAGGTCCGAATCATGTCAGACATTTTTGCAGTACTCATACCCGGGCCTACAAGCAAAATGGAACAGGAAAATATCAATTTGTTTTAGGCTTTGGTTTTGCCGGAAAATCTTATTTTCACCAACATATAATATGTTTGCGTATGGTCGCCAGCAATAGACCGTTTCAGCATTATCTTAGCTGGCCTGGTTTCCAAACAATGGTCATGAAAGTTTATTTTGAGAAGCCAAACAAACAGATTACTCGGTGTTTTATATCAAGAAACGGAGCCAAAAATGAAAGGAGGACACAAGAACTAAGTCTTTTGAGGAGACCTATAGTAAATACTTCTTCGGGAAAAGGTTTATTCGTCATTGAGGTGTTGTAGGTGAGACTCAAAGGACTTCATTACCAATATCTTTATGCGCATTTAGATGTGCCTAGCATACAGTAGGTGGGCTACCTCATAAAATGTTAACCTAAGTTATAAAGTGTATTTCTAATTAAAAGGAGCTGTCGTAGTTGGGTTCTAAATACTGATTATTAAGTAGCATAATCATGGGACCTTTCAGTCACGCCAAGATAAAGGTTTTTGAATGAAGCATCTTTCGGCAATTCGCAGAAATTAATTTTGACGAGGAATAACCGAATGGACAATACAATCTTTTCCAACTTTCCGGTCTTCTGAATCTTTATATGTGTACTAGAAAACATGCAAAAACACATGCTTTCTTATGTTCATCTGCTTACATGTTATATTTTAAAATGTTACATTTTAAGATGTGTGCCGTTCGGTTTTAAAAAAAAGTGACTTTTAAATTATAAAATAATTTCTAACTGGACTTGCGGTTGCACTTGTGTTTAGGGTTTTAGAACTTCAATTGCCTACTTTGAGTGGAGGGGAAATCTTATGTCTTTCCAAAATATGGATATGTACCATGTTGAGTACTTCACAAGTATCACTAATAAACGTTCCGAGACGATGATGTGTGATCGTGCATTGTCTTAACAATATCGTAATTAAAAATGTTTTTAAATCAAAAAAATATCATTTTCAAGTACACATTTTCAAAAAAGTGCAATTTCCTAATGAAAAAGGAAAAACTAATATTCCCGCGCATCTCTTATTTAAAATGCATTTAAATCCGCGAGAAAAATTTTCACACCACCTAAGTAGTCACTGCGTACCAGGACTGGTCTATGTATTTGGCCGCACAGAAATTCATTCAAAGTTGCCTTTCATAAGGACTGAAATAGTTTTAGGTTATGCGGTATCACAAACCCTCCGAACTATTTTTGATAAAAACATGTTTCAGAATTTCGGCCAACGTTTAATGAGATATACAATTTTCTTATAACAAAAGCCCATGACTTTTGAATACGTATTTGTAGTATTATCGGATTTGACAGGCCTTTCCTGCAGGCGACGAAAGCTGGCAATGTCAGTTTGTCATAGGAGCATACCTGCATCATGTGAAACGAGTAGTTAGTTGAGTTTTGAATTCGACGTGCGCCTTTGCGTTATGGTGTCCCTGGTCGGATTTGGTTAACCATTAACCTGAAAGTCACGTGACAGTGTAAGTGCCTCACGATTTCGTGCGTTGTTTTGATTCATATCTCTACTCAATTTAGGTCCGTTCTGAGATAAAGCATTCTAAAAATCCAACTTTTCTTTATGGCCTCTGTTTATCAGCTGAATGTCTCGTTTTCAGTTGAATTTTACAACCCCTTTAACCACAAAACAATCTGGACTACTGTGATACTCCAGCTACATCATCACGCGGCAGGACAGAAAATGGGGGTTTATTTCTCTTTCCTTGGTTCCGTCAAACTCGGTCTAGGCGTGAGCAGCAGACTATGCGATATTGAACCCTCTTATAGCCTTGAGCCAGCGCAGTTGTGGAGCCGCAGACGTCCAGTTTCATCCTTTTCTCCGTCACGGATGCAGGCCGCTTTGATGTGCTGGTAACCAGAGGTTATCCTTCCCTTAGCCCACGCCAGTCAGGTTCTCTGACTAGGACTTTCAAGCAAACGTCAAGCTTATTAAAATGTTTCAGGGGCAGGTCTGTGCCATAAAAGTTGTGCTTTGGTAGTGAATGGTCCCGATTAACAGCAACCGGCATCAGGCTCTACAGTCAAACGCCTATGGCTGCGGCAATTTCTAGGCCATTTAAAGGATAGCATAAGATCAGGGAGGAGAAGAGGGAGTCGGTCGACAAGTTGTCAGGTCTACTTGCCACTTATTATCTCCTTGCTGCGCTTACCAATTTAAGCTTAAATTCTCATGAAAACTGTCTGTATTCAAAGGGAGATATGTCATTGCATCTGGTGCAGAAATAAGCTGTAACAGTAATCGCCTGCTATTCCGGTTGTTTCTGGTGGTGGTAATATCTTATTATACAAAGTAATCGTAGAAGTGCGCATGTTCACTTCCGCTTTCAGACTCATCATACGTACAGGACAAAGCAATCAGTACTGAAAGAACTTGCCAATAGAAGCGAAAAGAAGAGTCCCAGTAAGTAGTCTTGAAGAAGAAGACACGATCGCTGGGACAAGAGCTTTATTAGCCTGACGTTTCGTATTCCTGCTCGAATCCATCATCAGAGACAACAGTAGATAAGGGTGATTCATGCACAAGGGGTTACAGTATTTATAGGATGCAGTCGTCATGCTACCGCATACCTATGAACATTCACAGCTCCCCCCTCATCCGTAATTGTCGCAATTGATGTGCTAATTGTTTGATGGCAGACATTCACGTCGTTAATTGCTGCGATGTCATCACGTGCGTTGGCTGTTGGTGTGATGATTGCTCGACCATCTGACGCACCGACCCCGGTGTTGTAAAAAGTGTTCGCATGTGCGCTCCCCGCGTGGCTAATTAACCCGCCTAGGCGAAGTCTCAGCATCGAGTATGGAAGGGGAAGTTCATTGCACTTGTAAATAGACTGGGGGGGCAGTAAACCATGATTCAAGTAGCTCCCTGCTCACGCGGTTGTCACCTCTTGCAAGACCTTCGGACTTGCCGAATTTGAATTTGAGTCCGGGTCTGGTCGAATGACCCGCAGCTTGAGAGAGCTGCAAGGACTTATTGATCCCTCACGATTCCAACAGCATGATACCCCAATGGTCCACATGTGTCACTGCGCAAGCATCTCTACCCCATTTGCCAACATCCAAACTTGATACAGCAACAGTAAGGTATCAGTCTCAGGATACAAGGCGGCAGATTTTTGCGCAGGTAAAATACATTCGGTACCTGGACAATGTCATAAAATGCTGTCCGAAATACCAAAAATGTATTTGAATAGGAAGGTTCGCCTTAATTTGGTTGTTCTATACATTAGCATGCAGCATAATCCCAAAACAGCTCTGTCACATCAGGATGTCGGCTTTTGAATGAGATGTTTTCAATTTTTTGTAAAAAAACAATCGCGGAAACAAAATGGCTATCTAAATCCATGTGTTATGTCATAAAATTTTGACCGAAATTCCGAAATTAGTTTTTAATTCGAAAAGATTAATTATGTAGGATTATTGCAGTAGTCACCCTGCTGCGTAATGCAAAGCTATTTCAGCCACATGAAAATATCGACCTCTAAAGGACTTCCTACACGGTCGTCTGCAAACTGATTATTTAAGAAGAACGGGTTTTTTCATTGACTTTCGATGCCATTATAAATTTAAATATATTCTATAGAAAACATACACTAAATGCTCCTTTTTTACTTATTCGGTAGCAATTTGATTTTCCCCTGTATTCGACCATACGTTGAGGCACAGAGGTTTTGGCTGCAGAAAATTCGATCGTTGTTCATAAACGGTTAAAAACGACATCTTTCCCGTAACAATTAAAAGAACTGTGTTACCGGTTGATTTTATAAGTTTATTGGCTACTTCTTGTTATAAGAGAGATTAAAACGCGCTTATTTGTTAATCTTTATATTACTCTCCCTTTAGGACAAGTACATAATTTCGAGTCTTTTCTTCCTGACTATTATTTGCATCTGGCACGGTGGAATCGCTGTCATTGAAAAGGTAGCAGAAAGGTTTGGCATCCTTCTGTGGGCAGACACGGAACTGTACGTCATCCTGTTAATCGGAATTGGCTATTTCACCTTCAATGTCGGCTTCATCCTTATGATCTACTGTGTTGTGAGTTAATTACTTTTTAAAAATTTATGTTACCTTAATGTTGCGTTAATACGGGCAAATTTAATATATTTAGCATTCCCTTGATATCAATAAGCTGACCATAGTCCTACTTCAGAGGGCGAACCACAGAAACCACCCTACATTGAAACCGAGTCACACTTTAAATCAGGATGATAAAACGATCACAGAAGTGAGCCCGCTTCCTTAGTGCCATCACCGGTGAGATGGATAAACAATGAAAAAATGCAACGAAAACGACTGCGCATAGTCTCTGTTTTACAAAATTTGGGCGTACACAGTGTCCAGCGTGGACCAAGGGCGCAGTCTAAAGATTAGCTATGCCATCAGACAAATCCCAGCAGCCATTCTTTTAATATATCGATGAGCGATAGACCCCACACTGCATGCTTTTTTAGGTGATCTTACCTTCAGCAATCAGAGCAAGCCTGTTACCGCTGTGAGCTCCACATTTCAAATATTTGGTCATCCAAAATGTCCACATTATGGAATTTGGGTAAGATGTGGTTATTTAGTCCCACCTGATGGACACAGTACTGTTGGGGTTGGGGTTAGGGTCACGGTTGTTGTTAGGGGTTACAGTTAGGGGTTGGGGTTAGGACGAGAGATAGAAGCTGGCGCAACTATTTCACAACCATTGGCAGTACAACCACGCACCTCCAATAGTTTTCTTTCGCAGGCAACTACTTGGCTTCGTCGCCTGTGCGTTCCCGGCCCCACCTGTAAAAACCCCTATAATCACCGGTCCCGTATTACAGGTGGATGGGGTTTGTTTACTTCTGACGGGGCTAAAAAACCACATCTGACCGGAATTTCTAGTTGAAGTTTCGACTATTCCGAAGATGTCCACTATGGGCTACACAGTTAGGTGAAACAGGCACAATGACCTGCATGCGAATTAGTTTATAGCGGTAGTAGGCTTGCGCAGCACTTACTACACGCTCTCCTCCCCACTCCTCACCTGGACCCGGTGTTGCGGCGCAGTCAAGCAATTAATGTAACGTAGGTGACAGCTCGGAATCAAAGTTGATACGGGTGAAGCTGTCAAGACTGTCACAGCAATGAGAATTAGCTCTTAGTCGAATGCAGTCGTTGATGTCTTCGCCAGCCTAAGGGTTATGGCTACTAAATCTAGTAATAATTGCCCTGATAGCCGATCCAGCTAATGCCGTGTTTGGGGTGAGGGGGGGTTGGAGGCGTGTGTGCGGGTCCATTAGAAGCCACGCCCACTCAGTCTGGACCACAAATGGATCACCATCTCGGCTGAATAGTGTGTGATGACATGCCATTATTAGCTCTCTTGATTGGCGTTTCTCAGAAGGCCATACGCACTATAATTGGCTCTGAAAGACCTCCTCTGCTCAGTGGTGCGAAACTGTGGAATTGGCAGGCGAGTTAACTAGATGTCAACTGGGTTCCATTGTTTTCTGTACGGAAAGTTACCCAGTCCATAAGAGTGGCTAAGTTTATGGATTTTTCCTTGAAGTGCGAAATGTTTGAGCGTGCATCTGGATTGTCAACGAGGACAATTTTAGCCACGGAATACAAATACGTACTGATAAGTATTATTACGAACTATAGAGTGGTATATGCCCGTTTCTGAAACAATTCTGTCTTGTGACTTACAAACTTAATATACAGTAGTTTGCAGACGTGAATCGCGCTTTCACATACTGATTCACTACTAATTCAGAGTTTCGATGACTCCTAAACGACATATATTTTGAACTTTTCGGCTTACTATGTTGAGTATTAGTCACCCACACTTAGCACTGTTTATCTTACATTAGGCAGACTGAAAATAAGCTACTTGAATCTCCAACTACTGAGGTACTGCAGATGAAAAAGGACAACTGTCTTTCAAAATCTAAACCATGTCAGCAGACTCATTACACAAGACACCGACGGATATTTTAAGGTTTTAGCCTAACTACCGATTTGGCGTGAAATGGGCGTATAAATCAAACTATGCCTTCCTTCATTGGATACTTGTAGAGAGGAGCAAATTAGGCCTGCTTTTTGCATTGGCTGTACAAACTCTGCTTATACATTGCTGTGCGTTTTTAAGGCATGCAAGCGAAGGCGGGACATGAAATCAAAGGACTCGGAGTATCTGGTAGGTTCATTTAATATGCTTACGTAATTCGAGAGTTCTCACTGATCATGTGCTTAAGAATTCGCACATATTATGATCGGGAAAATATTTTGACAAAACCTAGGAAGACGACCATTTAAACCTATGATTAATATCATCGGCCCACTGATAAGCATGATTCAATTCTTTTCCTATCTATTGCCAAATGCGCACGATTTCTAGTAAAGATTTTATATATAAACTGCATTTACTTCATCTGCGAACAGTTGTCGTCCCATAACAATTTCAATCATTGAGGATATTATGTTGTTTTTGCATGCTATTTAGTGTTCCATTGTCCAGATACACCTATGTAAAGCTGGACAGAATTAATGTAGGCAACATGGCTTAGCCAAACGTAACATTTACCGATGGCAACTGGCGTGGCTTAAAACACTACGCCGCGCATGGAAGGTTACCAGATCAAATTTTGACCCATCCTACTCAAAACAGATGGCCCGAATATAATGACTCCCAATAGTTGATGCAAGGATACGATTCCCGACAGGTATTCCAAAAGAGGAAGAAGCATTCATCGTGGGGGGTTCATCAGAAATCTGACATCTCTAGTGGCCATTTTGCCCCCCCCCCAACTTTAGGAATTAGTGTTTTACGCAAAGCCCTCATTAAATGGCGCATTCTGCTTAATGTGTAGGCCGCCAATGGGATGGTCAGATCCACAGCGCCACAAGGAACAGGAGCTGCTCACAGTCCTGACTCAGCACCTGATGTGGTCAGAAGACCCTATCCCTAACTAGGAGCAGTCGACCATTGCCTGGTGACTGTAGAACACAAACGCATGAGCATACAGTAGATGTGCTAACTCATGAAATGTCAACCAAAATTTCGAAGTGCGTTCTCGTTTCGAAAAGATAAATTAAGTAGTGTTGCAAAAGTAATCATGATGCAGCATAAATCTATAATGATCCAGTTATCTCAGGGTGTCGGCTTTCGAAAAAACTCATTTTCGGCTGCATGCAAGATCTATACACTGCAAAAAATGACTACTTAATTAACATGCAATTTTCTCATAGATTTTCGATGCCCCTGAGAATTCAATTATATTTCATGGAAAACATGCATAGAAATATTCATTCCTTTACTTATTCGGTAGAAAATCACGTCTTCTACCAATTTCATACTCAAAATAAGGGTATAATTCGGTTTTAAAAAAGTTTCTAATTGTGAGATTTTTAATACCGTTAAATGACCGTTTATGAAACTCATGTATCTGCATTAACGAATGTGGCTTGTAAAGTTAACAATATTACTCAAATCCACTGCTCAATTTTGTCAACCTTATATGATCTCCCCTTAACACCGTAGAGAAATGGATGATTTTCCGAACACGGGAAATATACAGCTTGTAGGTTTGAAACCATGAATGCAAGTGTAACAGCAGGTCGAGTTCAAAAGTATTCGGGAATTAGGAGTTTTTTAATACCGAATTATACTCTTCTTTTGAGTATGAAATTGGAAGGAGACGTGATATTCTACCATATCGGTGAAAGAATGTATATTTTGTGCATGTTTTCCATGAAACATAATTGAATTTTTAGGGGCATCGAAAATCCATGAGAAAATTGCATGTTAATTAAGTAGTCATTGTTTGCAGTGTATAGATCTTACATGCAGCCGAAAATGAGTTCTTTCGAAAGCCGACACCCTGAGATAACTGGATCTTTATAAACTTATGCTGCATCATGATTACGTTTGCAACACTGCTTAATTTATCTTTTCGAAACGAGAACGCATTTCAAATTTTGGTTGACACGCTTGACCCAAAGTAGGAGGCGGAACTTTATGTTGCACAGATGGGCCAAATCTTCATTTCATTAGGCAAATAAATCAAATAAGTTTATCGGAAATTTGCTAGCGGATCACAGAGCCAAATAACATTTCCTGGATGAAAAAGATAAGGATTTTGCGAAACATGAAACCGTTGGCAGCACATCACTCGTGAACCATGCAACAGCAGCTCATTTATTTCTTATTCACAAAGCTACTTGAGCGGACCACTGGAAGCGGAATATACGTATGTTTACTCGCGGTCTGATATGATGCAAGACAAGAGCACTTAAATGAATTTGACCCGGGGATAGAGGTGAAAGCCTGCTCCATGAAATACACGACTGATACCACCAAACCTGGACTACTGGGAGAGTGTAGTTGTGGAAATCTATCCTTAAGGTCTTGTCTAGTGCTAGATTAGCATTCTTATCTATTCCTTTTTGACGCTGGCATAATTATAAAGCCGTAATGAAGACTTGAAGAGACGAATCATTCCGCTTTCTTGCGAACTTTTAGGAGAAGGTGAAGTGTCAGATGAGCAAGAAGGGCAGTCGAGCACACAGAACCACCAGTGCGGACGTTCGGCTCACTGGACAGAGACAAACAGATGTGTTGGATTTCAGTTGATACTACTGCTCAAAAGTGCTCCCATGGGCACATTCTCTGCCGTTTCACGGAGACAACAAAATACCTCCTTCAGCAGAGATAGAACAGACAGTCGGGACAGTCGACAAGTGCTATAACACCTGCATCTGGATACCCTTGACACTGTCCATTTCCATGTCTAGATTTACGAAATAATGTAGTACTTTGTACATTTACTGAGACTGCAGCCAAACATGTTTACTTGGCTTCTGTTCAGAGACGCGTTTTAGATTATCTGTTCATTTTGACTGATTGAGCCGGCTGACATCTGCGCGGGCATTGTTTATATTAGCGTCTTAATGTTAAAGATGTATAAGTAAACTACCTTAAAACTGTTAACCAGATAGCTGACTCGTCAGTAATCTGTTCTAGAACTTCAGACTAAAAGACACCAACCTGTTTAAAAGTAGGTGCCGTAGCTGTGAAATTATTTTGCCTTTCGACTGAATAACGTTTAATATTTAAGTACAGCCTAGCTGGTAGCCCATGAACAGTGGTCAAAATGACCACGTAATTTGATGTTGAGTGTGTTTAACGCGAGTAAATAGAAAGACGGTAGTCACAATGAAGGTTCTAAAAGAATGCAGCACGTCCGTTTTATAAGAGACACTTAAGAAAAGCAAACAGAGCTTGTTTTTGCATATAATTGCAGATTTTAAGTGACGTACTGTGACTTACTATGCAGCAAATAGAAAGTTATTTACAAACTGAGGCTGAAAATCGTAAAACCTATTATGTAACAGGGATAAGTGTTTGATGCATAGATTATATAAAAATATTTCAAATAAATGAAGCTAGAAAAAGTTTACAGATGAGTGAACATAACTAGCTAGTCTACTAAGCCTTCCCCAAATTACGCATTATAAATCTAATGTTTCACATCCCTCAGAAATGTGTTTTTTGAAGTACAGTGGATTCACTGTAAAGATGTGTGTTCACCCTTAGTTGATACTCATTCAAAAGAGAGAGAGATGCGACCCCTGGATCAAGAATGAAGACAACTGCTTAATGATTGCGTCTCGTTGCTTTTCGTATTCGTATGCCGGAAACTACATTACCCATTCTGTCGACAGGTAGAGGGAAGTTTAAACTTGTCGGCAGACAACCTTCGAGATTTTCTATTAATAGCTTAACGTTCCAGTCGTTTGTTTAGGAGTTTACAATAAAAAGCTCCCTGCGCACTCATGTCAATTTATGCAATAATTCTGCCCTCGAAGTTAAGTAACCTTGCTGACAATTTTTCTACTGAGACGCGAATGAATATAATCACGCGTTTTTATTCTCATAGTATAGTATTTGGTCCTTTGCAGATATTGCGCAGTTAAGCTGTCGTTCGAACAGTCATGCTGCCAGTAGCCTTTCCGCAAGTTGAAGTAGGCGCATAAGCAGGTTTGCCATAACTCATGCATAAATTGCCTGCAGAGCATTGCGATTACCTAATTTACTACGTGTGCACGTATGCATAGGGAATAGGTTTCGGCACAGTACAGTTAAATCCACTTGGATGGCAGCCTTTTCCTCAAGATCTGCTGGTAAGAATTATCTTTACCTTTGCATGGCGGGAGATGACTTTCTTTGAGTTTGACTTTTTTCACGACTTTAATCATTCTGAATAGTTTTATGCCATCGACCTGGAGTTAATTGATTGAGGTACAGCAGGTACAGTGCGTGACCTATCTCATGAAATGTTGGCTGAGATTCTGAAATGCGTTTTCAATTAGAAAGGATTACTTGGTCGCGGTTGTGATAGTGATTATTTTAAGGCATACTGTTATAAAATTTTGGACTCGGCAGGATGTCGGCTTTTAAGTGCACTTCTTTTCAATCTCCTGTAGAAAGCGTGCTCGGTAAAAAATGACTACTTATGTAGCATGCATTTTTCCCATTGATTTTCGAATGTCCTGGAAATTCAAATATATTTTATAGAAACCGCAAACAAAAATGTGCTTTCTTTTAGTCAATCAATAGAGAATCACGTTTTCTTTATATTTTATACTTAAGGAAGGAGTATAATTAGGTTTTAAACAAAGTTTCCTAATTGCCGAAAGATTTGGAGCCTGATCATTCTTTGCATTTGCGCTTAGTGATTACACTCTACAAGGTGTATGCGTTCCGCGTAAAAAAAATCCCATATTTTTCTGGGTCATTAAAGAGATACTATACAGGATCCATAAAATTTTGCAATGGATGCGGACCATGTTGTACATTTCATGAGGAGCAGTGGTAAACGGCCAGGTCCGATGCTATGTGAATGGAAATATCCCGGTCTTAAAAAGTCTCATAATTGGTAACTTTTTTAAAACCTAATTATACTCCTTTCTTAAGTATAAAATATAAAGAAAACATGATTTTCTATTGATTGACTAAAAGAAAGCACATTTTTGTTTGCGGTTTCTATAAAATATATTTGAATTTCCAAGACCATCGAAAATCAATGGAAAAATGCATGTTACTTAAGTAGTCATGTTTTACCGAGCACGCTTTCTACAGGAGATTGAAAAGAAGTGCACTTAAAAGCCGACATCCCGCCGAGTCCAAAATGTTATAACAGTATGCCTTAAGATAATCAGTATCACAACCGCGACCAAGTAAGCCTTCCTAATCGAAAATGCATTTCAGAATTTCAGTCAACATTTCATGAGATAGGTCACGCACTGTATTTACTGTAACAGACGATATAGTAGACGACGAGATATCTTTGCAAAAAGGATAAGGGAAAGAGCAGCGACCAGTAAAGCAGAGGCAGAGCACGTGTGACGACCGGAAATCGACGACTTATTGTCGTAGGACAGTCGGGTAGGGAAAGGGATGAGTAAAACACTTTGACAATTTGGCCACCTTTAACTTTTGAGTGACCAAGATGAGGGCTACTGAGGTTCAACTTTGTCTCGATGGTTCAACGTTATAAGTAGTATGCGCCGAAAGCATGGAACAAGTTTCCTAAGCCGTCTCCTGAAACCTTTCCAACGCTCCGCGTGTATTGTTAGTGTAGTTGGTGTCCGACACCCAAGAATTCTGTTTAACGAAAACCAAAACCAAGTTTAAAGCAGGTGTTTTCAATATGGACGTCGAGGTATCCAATATGACAAACAAATTTATGGTTGGCGCCTTATGTCAGAAAGGCGCCCGACAATCCAACATGGGATATATTCCGCAACACAAGTGGACTATCTAACGAAAAATGATGCTTTATTCAAATTGTTTCTGGGTATCTTAGAAAGGCTAAAGATTTATAATCAGAAACTCCGTTTACATAACGATGGTTAAATAAGGTGCCAATAATGTTGTTTTGTCTGAAAATAGGAAGATTTGAACAAAGCTGTAAAAATTAGATGTTGTTAACATTGTAGTTTACTTGCTCAGCCAAATGTCCATCATTCAGATAAATGTATTAAGGAATGTCAGTGGGCTTTTCGAAGAAAAACTAGAGGGGCAGAAGTGAGACATTGCCTAGCGTTTCAAAGTGCCCTTGTGTACAATTACATGAATAATGGAAAATGTTGCTGGGTGACCTGGTAACGATCGGGCATATGACCCTGCCCGATCTCTGTTTCTTTCAAATACTTACTTATGCCATTTAGGTAGGATTAATATAAACCCCTACCATTTCTTTCATCTCCTGTCAAGCCCCGTTCATGTGTTGCTATTAAGCTTACGAATGGAATTTACAGTTTCTCTCCAGACCTTGGCTTGTGTCGACTTCTTGGGATTTCAACGTTACTAGATCCACTTTTTTAGTCGTGGCCAATCAAATAGACAGATTGTATGGTGTAATCTTAACAGGTTCTCCTCCAATGAGGTTGTTTAACACGGACGGAAATCAGTTGTCCAGCAATATTTAAATATTCACCCCGATTTCATTTTTCACCTGTTTATAGTCATAATTTCCAAAGTTCCAAATCGCTCACTTACGCGTTTAAGTTTTATTGCTGTACTTAAACAAACTAATGCCTCAACTGCCATTTTATCACTGTTTCCGGAAAACTGCCATCTGTGAGTTCCGTTTGTCTCAGCCCTTAAACCCCCCTTACCACTCCACACTATTACAAGGGTATTTGCCTCCCGTTTTCTCAGTGGGGCTCTATAATCCATCCTCACGGTTGTTCTGGTTAAACTTATAAACATATCCTTTTTTGAAAAACATTCATGCTGTACTCCATGAGAACAAGTATGTTTTCCATGTAATGCGCACCAGGCGCTTTAATGTGATTGCAGAAGGCTCAAAGTGAGGAGAGATCACAACAACCATTAATTTTAAATACATAAGTCGAAAGTCAAAAAAATTTCACTTTTGTCTTAACAAGACATTTTCAATGATGCAAATTTCCTTTTTTGACATCAACACCGTTTAGACAAATTGCCCGCCCGCGGTCATTTAACTGTAATTAAGATAGAACTTGTATTTCCTCGTAGGCGATTCTATCGCACTATTATACAGCTTAAAATATTTTACTTTCCATCTGATTTCATACGAGCGCTTTTCTGCAGATATCTGGCGTGCATCGTGTAGAAACATCTAAACATTAATACTCTGTATGCTGAAAATAGAACAACGAGATAAATATCTCACGGTGATGATAAGGACTCCTTTCCATTCTTCTCTAGTATAGAGATTACATCTGTTTATGGCTCATGTGCGTCAAATGCGCTTGCTTAAGGCTAAATTTTATTGCCCAAGAGCATCATACTAGCCCTTTTGATAGCCTACCTATTTTCGTCATTTATGTATATTGTACTGTTGGAAAATAGATCGTGTATTTGTCGTTTTATGTGCCAAAAGCTAAGTATGTTCGGAAGATATCGGTGCACTTCATGTATACATTGTAGAAAACTCAAAAACAAGTTGTAGAAATTGTCATAGTATCTAAGTGTGAATAATTTAAAGATTAACAAATAAGTTCCTCACTATTAAAATCTTTACTTTTCCCTCAATTAGAACACGTCTCATCATGACATATCCTAACTGAATTACCTGGTGAACA